TAATGTTCTTTATTTATTTATGAATAATAATAATAATAATAATAATAATAATAATAATATAATAATAATAATAATAATAATAATAATAATAATAATAATACACAATAAGCTCTGTACTGGATAGAGATAGTCACCGGGTAGTGCGTAATTACTTTATGACAAGTGAACTCCACATCGGATGGATGCTGCTCATGTACACAAGCTTTTGTGACATAATTTATTCTTTACGTCCCTTATCTGGTTAAGTTTAGTGGGATTAAGTAGAAGAATAGTTTGAAATGTGACCATTACCTAGTAAGAGTTGACAATTACACTGATTTTGGTGCAAGTTTGAAATCCAAAGTGTTTGTTGCCTTTGTAGTAACTGGGGACAAAGTGACTTCCTCTTATTTGCGCAGCAAGCACTTCTGTTATTGAAAAATGTTACTAGATATGCATCATCATAAAATAGATAAACCCATCCTCCTTATAGCTCCATCAAGCTAGCACAAGCTCAATTCACTGGTCAAGAGCTCAAGATATGATCCACGATAGGGTCCATAAGCGACCTGATACTTTATGACTGACTGAAGAGAGTTTCCTCTCAAAGACGAATAAGGGGTCCAGGCGTCTCTCGGTCGACTTCCACGTGTCGACTAGAATAAGTCAATTTCCCCGGAAAGACGGATAAGCGCATCAGGGTCTACCGATGACTGAAGATGGCCCCGTCGACTCGAGTCGGTATCCCGAGTCGACTGGGGAAGTTCCGAGGCTCATAGATCCCCGACGATCCGATACACTTCGATATATCATAGGAAAGCTGTCAAGGATAAGAAAGAATCTAAATGCTGACTAGGAGAGGGACGGAATGCGAACCGACCAGGGTATTTTGGACATTTCCAGTAAGTCGGCCAGGACATTTTGAGAACTTCAGGTAAATGTCTTGCTTCTATATAAAGGAGCTGAGATAACCCCAAAACCCTAACTCCCGTTCATTCCATACTATCCTCCATTACTGCTGCTGCTCTCTCAGAGCAGCTCTCTTCCTCTCTTTCACATACTGACTTGAGCGTTGGAGGCTCTACGCCAGAAACCCCTCCGGCGTTGAGTTCTTGCAGGTCTTCTCGTAGTTCTTGAACGTCGGCGGCTCTACGCCGGAAATCCCTCCGGCGTTGAGTTCTTGCAGGTCTTCTCGTAGTTCGACAACGGTTCGGAGGCCATCAAGCCAGATCTGAGCTCATTCTCATCGGTTCATTCCAGATCTGGACCGTTTTCCATCGATTCACTCCAGATCTGAGAGGAGACCCATCACCTTTAATCACACTTTCGACCTTTCTCATCTAACACTAGGGCATCAGAGTCTGGAACACTTCCCGGTGCTTTATAAGTTTTGTCACACATCTAATTAATTCGTTAGAAACACATCCCCAAATAATTCCTTAGAATCACTGTACCCAAACAAAGGCAGAAAAAAAGACTATGTGAAATACTAAGTGATTACACAACAAAAGTGTTCCCTTTCTTCCTCTCAAACCATTTCCATACGTCCAGCGACATGCAGAACTTGGCAAGCAAAATCCGCACGCAAATACATTCAAAGTATCGTTATACCCATATGTAATAGACTTTATGAAAAAAAAAAA